CACTTTCGTATATACAAAGCATGGTATTACACTTTGTTTTCAACTTTTATTTATTTATTTATTTTCATTTTGGTTGTACGGGTTAAAGTGGCATTCTCATTTTTGAATCCCAGTTCTTTTTTCTGGTTTATTGGATGGGTGTTAGTTTCTTTCACATATTTACTCACTTTTCTTTGATTTATTTTCATATATTCCGTTACATTCTTGCACCTTGCTCTTTTGTAATTTGAATATCAGTTTTCTCCAGTGTTGTTTTTTTTTTTGCTCTGATCAGTATTTGCAAAACCCGCTGGGCCGACCCGGACCTGGCCGGGTGAACCCAATTTTGTCATGTTATAGAGTCTATTGCTAAACAATCGGTCAATTATTGTTTGTTAATATTCGAGAGAAAAAAATTCAATTAATTATTTATCGAGTTCCTTTTGAGAAGTCTAAAGCGTGTTTAGCTTTAATTTTTTTTTTTTTTGCACAGATTTGGGATTTTTTTGAACTATAATATTTTTAATGTTTTATACTTTCCATTCGTTCTTGAGCTTTTATTTTAGTAATTTAGATCTTTTATAGGTTTTATTTAGTTCTAATTTTAGGCGGAAAAATCTGGTAAACCTGTAAAGTTTGTTCCTCTGCTGAAATTGTAAAATTGTAATCTATTTAAAAATTGTGATCTACTCAAGCAAGTTCGACTCTCCTTTCTACTCCTCTTGCCATGTTTGAGAACACACCTCTAAATCTCTACTTCTCCAACATTACTTGATGTCTTAAACTTATTTCTTTGTCGTTAGTTGACAAGTTTTTCTTTTGTTTCATAAAACTTATTTCTTTTTATATCTCTTATTCTCTTATTAGAAATACTACTTTGTTGATTTTTTTTTGATGTTTCTGCAGGTATGGTTTTATTGACTATCTTTTGTATTCAACTTCGATTGTATTGAAATTGAATTTTTTTTGGATAATTTGGCAAATCAAAATAATATTTTTTGCATCTATTTTATATGATGCATTGAAGTGATTGGATGTGGCCTCAGATCTATCTGACGATCAAATATGCGATGCCAATTTGTCCAATGTCTAATGCCGCTACTAATCAGTCTTAGTGCCTTGGCGGGATTTACAAGATATTATGTTTGTTAAATAGAATATATGGATATTTTGGGAGATGAAGGAGAAAGAATCCAATCAAGAAGAATCTGACAAAGTTGGAACATGTAGTGTATAGTGAAGAGGATGATTTTATTGTATATCTCTTTTTGAAATTAGCAATAGTGAAGAGGATGATTTTATTGTAATATCTCTTTTTGAAATTAGAGACATTATCACGTTCGCCAATATGACAATATTGAAAGGGAGATAAAATATATTGATATTTTGTGATCTTCCAATGTTGAGAAAAAGATAGAATATATTGAGGAGAAGATAGAATATATTAATATTTTAGAAAAAAAGGAAGAAAGAATTAAATTTTAAGGAAAATATGAGAATGTTGGACAATATAGATGAAAAAGATGATAGTCGTTTTAGACTATTCGTGGAATAACACTGTAGATTGCTAGTGAATAACATTATGAAATTTACAAATATAGAGTAAAGATGGAATATTGTGAATAGTAAAAATAATTTGATAAAAGTGGAAGCGTACATCACTAGGTAAAAGATAAGATAAGGCTAGAAGAAGTGAGTGAAGAGGATGATATTTACTCTTTTTGATTGAGAATGGTCTTTACTCTTTTTGCCTGGAATTAGTACGAGAAGGTTGGAAGATATAGTTGAATAAGATTTAGTTGTTTTTGTGAAATTAATATTGGTACGCCTGTAGTGTAAATTACCTACCGTAAATTATTAGTTATTAGTATAGTACAATTGATTCTTTATTTTTATTTTATTTTTTATCGTTTTGTTATCTACTAATTAAATCATTTACCAAGACCAGATAAAAAATGCGGGAAAGTTAATACCCCTCAACCAACTTTCTAACATGCACACCCAAATATATTTTTTAATATCAAAGTACTAATATCGATAATATTTATTTTGAAGCTATCCCCAAAGTAAAGAGTTAGTTTATTGTAGGATGAAAATACTTCCTATGACATGCATTTCTCTTGAGAAAAGATATCAAGCCTGTCGGACTAGCTTCAATCGGGACTAGAGGACTTCATTTTTTTTAAATGAAGCTGATCCAATACAATGTGTGTTGGATCAGCTTTAATAGCGACCAGAATGCTTCAATTTTTAAGAAAGCAAGTTTGCCACGGTGTGTGTCAGACCGGCTTCAATAGTAATCAGAAGTCAGTCCAGCTTTAATGTTTAAAAAATGAAACTAATTTTAGTAGCGATTAAAAGTCAATTCAACACAAAATTGGATTCAATAGAGTCCAGAAGCCAGTCCGCCATACTATATGCCAGACTAATTCCATTTAAAAAAATTAGGGAGGGGTGAGAGAAACATGGGTTATAGCTGGGTATTTTTGTCCTATAAAAGTACCTTTCTACTTGGGTTTGAGTGCAAAAAAATAGTATAAGGGTTAGCGGTATAGTTTGAAGAGTTTATTGGGGCTGGGCATTGCCTACAAAGTTGGCTCTAAGGGGTATTTATAATTTTCTTAAAAACATAAATTGAGTGAAATGGAAATTAAATGCGAGTTTTATGAAGTACCAGTCACCAATGGCTATTGGGGGGAATAATAGGAAATGGAAAATAAAAAGTAAAATTTACCTTGAGCATACACAGTAATTCTAGAGTATATGGTTCATAAACCAGCCATCACTATTGTCCTTACCATTGGACGGCCAAGATTAGTTTTATAAGAGGTATATTGAAAGACTACCACAAAATAGAAATGTATGGTCTTTAAGTATAATCACCATCCAATCCTGAGATGGAGAGAGTGGGGCTTACCAATTGGGTCATGCGGAGTTCTTATGGGTCCCAGTTCTCTCTCACTTATTGGCGCTCCAATGGTTAGATGGCGATGCGACTATACACTAGCTATAGTCATGTGGAGCATAGTTTATTCCTTCGAGAAACATGACAATTCATGTATAGCAGAGATCCATAGCCATAGTCTCTAGTGCGGTTTGTATATGGTGTCAACGTTGAATAATGAAAGTAAGACGTACCTCCAAACTTTGTTTGCACAATTTTGGTGTAGAAAATTTATAGAATAGTTAAACTTAGAACTCCAAAAATGGTATTAAATCAAGCATATCTATAAACATTTAAAAATCTTAAAAATGGATAGTACAAAAAAATCAATAGAATCTATTCAGACCGACTAAAGCCAAAAAATTATATGCTCCGCCATAAAAAAACCTTCTTTAAGGAGGGACTGTCTACTAAATGACCATTTATTCTTTGTACATAGAGGTCATAAACATTTTTGTCTCTTAAATTTCAAAATGGATGGTTATAAAAATGTTATTGAATAGACACAAAATTTAAAAAACAAAAATTCTTGAACTTCATGATTTACCTCCAAGCTATCCAATCTCTTGCATTATTTTTAAAACTTAAAATCTATTTTTTTTAAATATCTATATTTTTGGAAATCGATATCGATGGCTCTTCAACATTGAAACAACATTTTCCAATGGATTTGTGATGCACGCCTTTCTTCCACAATACAAGGTTGAGACCTTATGTAAACTTTTTTTCCCTCCATAAAACATTAAAAAAATCTCCTCTACTCTCTCTCTTCCATTAAACACCTCGGGAAGTAATCTTATAATCTCTTTCTCTCTCTAGAAGTAATATGAGACACACCTCTATCTTTGACAGACTTTCATTGGGGAACTTGTGATCTCTCTCTCTCTGTTGTCGAACTTCAAACCATAGTTATCGGGAGCGCCCCATTAGGATGGCGCTCCCACTCCAGAACCTAGTTCCACCGAGTCATGATCAAAATTTCGACCTGAACTCGTTTTAAAATTTTCAGGAGCTATCTCGTATTTATAGGATTCTCAATCCCATACACAAAGGATCTTGATTCTACTGTCGCACTTCTTAAAATTATAGATCTCGTTCTTGAATAAATTAGAACCCCGTAGAATTTTATGAATTGATCCCTACCTTCCTAGAATTCCATCCCTATGTTGCCGGAACCTCCTAAAAGAAACTTTTTTAAAAAAATTAATTTTTAAAATAAAATAATTATTTTAAGCGAAATTTTCATACCAGTGGAGTTCTTCGACAACAGCGCAATTAATCATGTACGGAACACGATCCTTCCTTGAATGGAACTCGATCTTTTCCAAATAAGAAAGTGGTCGTTCTTAGATGAGGGCGCGATCCTATTGTCATTGGGAGCACGATTCTAATGAATATGGGAACACAATCCCAAATGACATGGAACGCGTACCCGTTAAATAAAGATCTAGATACTGATGGATTGGGAATACACTCCTTGTTCATACAGGATCTTGATCTGCTACTTTTACCCTCACTGAAACTCGCTCCCCGAGCTCCGAAACTTTGGGCAGCTGTCGATCCGATGCTCCCGCTCTCAGAACCGGAGCCATTCCCACCCCCACTAACTATGCTTCAAACATCAAATTTGTAGAGAATTCCGGATCATACTCCATGTACACTCATGGTTACATATACACTAGTGTTGTACACATGGGGATATGTACTCATCAGCTGAGGGAGAGAGAGGTCAATAGAGGTGTTTTGCTTCATTTTTAAATGACCAAAAGGCTTCCTATCCCATTATATAAACTCACGTAGCATGAAGAAAGGAAGGCTTTCTCGACCTTCATTATCTGTTTAACTGTTAAATTTCCTTAATTGTTTGATTCAGACTCGAATTCAATCTCGCTTCAGCTCTATCTATGTGGTTTCCTTAAATATTCAAACTTAAATGTGAACCAAGTGGAATGAATGCTTCAATTTGTCTCTCATTCCTTGCTCTTGGCAATTTTAGTAAGCAACAACACCCAAATCAATGCTTCACAAGGATGCCTTTCATGCTGAGACAACAAGTTGATCTATGACCATATCCATATGTTAACACAATAAAAACCTGTAGATTACTCTATAAATAAACAAATAGAGAACGAGTAGTATCAAGCAAAACATGGGTTTGACTGATGCAAATCTTAACGCAACAAAAACTTTGAAACTACTCTATAAATAGATGATTACATAAGAGAATGAAGCAAAAACATGGCCGTGTAAATACTGGTTCTATAATCCAGTGAAGCTCAATCAGTTGACAATTGAACTTGGTGTTTTCATCCCTGTGCTTGGAACCACTTGAGCCTGTATTGTTTCCGGTGAGGCTTCCGGCAAGGATTCTGGCAATGTGATTGTTGGAGTTTCGGAGGGAACTGATGCCTGAACAACTTCAGGTGGCTTGAATTTGTTGATATAGTAACTGAGAGAAGGGCCAGAATATTCTAAGGTCTGAATTTGAGGTGGAGTGGTCTTTCCAACTTGAAGGAGTATGGAGGAAGCAGCGGCTAGCGAGAGTAGGCCCAAGCCAGCAGCAATTCTCACTGTGTTGTCAGCACCCTCTGAAGAGGTCCCAGCACTTCCAGAACTGATTGCACTCTCTGCTATGTAAACTGTTGGCTGCAAAAAAAAAAAGCAGGGTCATTTCTTCCAGCAGTGACGGAATATGTTGTGTACAAGTTTCAGAGAGAGATGCTCAAGTGAACATTTTGAGTATTAGGCTATATACAAGAGAAAGAGCCAGTATTATTAGTATTAGGCTGTGTATAAGATTGCATGTGCATGTGAGAGAGAGAGAGGTCAATTGCATGTGCATGCGAGAGAGAGAGGTCCAAGAGATGTTCTAGCTTATTTTGTGTGTGTGAGAGAGAGAAAGATGTCCAAGGTACTTTCTTATTACCATGAAAATTGACAAAGGAGGGTATACTCTTAAATTACTTCAAATGTTACCCTGATTGCCTTGATTATCTCCACAGATTAAGAGATAAAAACAGAAGTCTAACCATGTGGGATAGCAAACCTCAACAGAGTAGATGTTTTTTTGGCCAGCAGTATCCTTCTCAACATAACCAGTCCAACCTTTTTTTTTTGGAGGATATGTTCCAACCACTCTTGTTTTCTCCACGGCTAGCCATTCCATGCTTACCTTCCCCACCTATGTCACCAGTAGAGGAGAAAACAGCGCCATTCAACCCCCAAATTTAGGAAGGAAATAACAATTAAAACACGTAAAATTCTTTCTAAATCCATAAATCAAAATTTAAAATATGGTGTAAATGAAATACATAAGATCCCTAAATACCCAGTACTATATAGAACACAAAAATTTCAAAAGATAATGTCTTAGTGACTGTATTGTGAAACCAAATCAGTAATTGCAGTTGTAAATAGCATAGAAATGCTTCATGGCAATGCCAAAAATTCCAAATTTCAATGTGATTCAATTTCCCTAACATTTTTAATAAAGAGATATTAAATTTACTATAAATCACACCAAAAAAAAAAAAACAAAATCACCGAGATTAAAGCATTCATAGAAAGCTCTCATCAAATATAGGTATTTCAAGAAATAGCAATATTGAAGATGAAGAGAAGATAATTTGAAAGAGGCATTATAAATGTGGCAGGAAATGACTCATTCTCAAGGGAATGATGAATATCATGCTGCTTCATGGTTGTATCTTACTTACTCTTTGAACCTTGGATACCCAAAATAGGGAAAGGTAATCATAAAAGTCTGGTCCTACAAGTGGAGGTACATGTCATGTTATGTGGTGAAACCAATGAACTGTCCGGCGCTAATGGAAACCTTGCATTCCCAAGTCTCAATAACTCCATGTATAAGCGCCCTTAGCTATCCCTACTATTCATGTCCTTCAAAAAACCTTAAAAGATAGCCATGATACAAATTGCATAGGAAGGCGATCTCTCTCCCCAGCAAGCTATATGCAAGACAAATGACAAATGAGATCCACAGATTCAGGAATGATCCTGGAAATCTCAAACAACATTAGGAAGAACCCCTGGATCTTGAATCAATAGGGACAATGTAGAAGGATGTAGTCCATGTCCCCTTGTACTCCCTGCACAAGAAACAAATCTAATGAGCCTGCCACATATGCCCCCGTAGATGTTTGATATTACGAACTCAATGAAGGTGGCTAATCATCCAAAATCAAGGACTGGGGATTGAGATTGGGTACTCAAATAAAACAATTAGGATTTAACAGGAACTGAGATCCTCATGGTCCTATCCTATTTTCACAACCACTTTTTAGAACCTCTGCCCCATGATAAATTTTTTTCAAAGGCACTGTAATAAACAGCCTAACTCTATCACAATTATCATCTTCACATAGATTCCTTCTAAAGTGAGAAATCCTGATCCAATCTCCCATGCATGATAACTCTAAATGCAACCTCAATAGAGGTGGTGAGAGTGGCAAGATGCAAGAATCAGATGCTCAGAACCTCCTCCTCAGAGGCCCACACATACACCCAACCAGAAACCGATTCCACTTGTGTCAGCCATATATGGATACATAACCCTGTGGTTCAGAGAAAGTTGATTGCATTGGAAATCATTGAATCCCAAAGTCAATACAGATTGGGCACAATACCTAGATGGGTGACGCTTGGGGGTCAGTGCATACTCATCAAGCAAAAGATCATGAGCATATATGAGCGATTTAAATGTCTCACAGAAAGCATTTGGATTTTAGGATACACCAACAAAATATATATCTGCATAGAATACCCATATTCATTTATATATAGCAAAATCATTGCCTATCAATCAATCAAACAAGCTATCTATCTATCTATCTATCTACACACATACACACACTCTTTAGAACAAATAAAAGAACACACACATACACGCACACTCTTTAAAACAACTAAAAGAACTAGCATATTATCACATACATCCATTCATTACATAATAGAATGCATTGTGTGGATGTCTCTAAGGCAATAAGTTTTTTATGGTTTCCAAAAATTACCACTTCTTCTTTCCTCTACGAAGTTGTCCTATTCTTTTGTTTAGTAGGTCTGAAGTTTTTTGTTGTGTAGGTTTGAAGTTCAACCAAAAATCAAGCATATGGATAAATTTAGTTTTTTGTTTTGTAGGTTTGAAGTTCAACCAAAAATCAAGTATATGGATAAATTTAAATTTCAACAGGGTGATATAGGATAATTTTGATTCTATAACTACTTCACTGAAATCACTATTTAGCAGAACCTAAATTTAAATTTCAACAGGGTGATAAAGGATAATTTTGATTCTATAACTACTTAACTGAAATCACTATTTAGCAGAACCTTTTCCCATACTTCTGTAACAACAGGAGCAACCGATTATAACAACGGTGAACGGATCAGTAGAGCAGGTGTCTTAGTTATGAAGATGCAATTGTTTATCTCGTTATCCCAAGCATAAATACATTCCAACAAGTTGTGCAATGTCCATATGTTTGTAGATGGTTCCTCAAATTGGTTACTCGTGACTATCCTATAGTCCCTCACTATTATTTGTCTCGTTATCCCAAGCATAAATACATTCCAACAAGTTGTACAATATCCATATGTTTTATATATGGTTGCTGGTTACCCATTTCATCATTCATTGCTAAAGTTTCTGCAAAATATTTTAAAAGAGCTGTTCTGGTTATCAAATGAATACAAAAGTACATAGTGATCTTTTGATTGATCACAAAGTAGATAACATCATTCTTAAGGCTTGACATTTAGACAATAAAATTCAATTAAGATGCATGAAATCCACTTTCATAAGAAAAAACTAATATATTTGAAGAGATTTCCATTATTTT